TTGTGCTTTAAAGTTGTATTTAAGTTCTCCCTTTATATTGTTTTGTAATAGTTAGTCTTTACTATTTCCTTAGTATAAATAGTAATTAGTTTCCTACTTGTCATTAGTTCACTTGTTAATCTGATTAGAGCTGTAATCAATCTGTAATTCTCTCTAAAAGAAATCTATTGAAGATTTGGTAAAAATCTCTCTCTTCTCTTCTTCTTGATCTTGATCTTGAAGATTATTATGATTTTGTATGATTTGGGAACTTCAAATCTCATTATTATTTCAAAAGGGTTTGAAACAAATGTGTATATTATTGTATTTGGGGGTATTGTTTGTTTTATGCATGATGAGATACGTATGATTGTACACAAAAACCATGAACCCACTAAGCTTTATGAAGCTGACTATTAGTACGCATTTCAGGAGCTGGAAGTTCAAGAACGGACAAGGCAAAGGTTCTACATAGAAAATAGAACTATTATTCAAGTTATGATTTATAAAATCTTTTATATTTTAATTGGATTTAAATGTAACGTAACCTAGTATGGGACGGGTTAGTTTTGAGATATTGATTACAATTAAATTATTGTAAGACTTCGCTGTAATAAGGCTTTATTAGCCGCTATATTTTGGGGTTATTTATTGTTATTTAATGAGAATGACGTGACACAACTCATGATGAAAATGAGGGTGTTACACAAGAAGGTGCCACGTGTCCTGAACTTTCAAGAGATATTTATCACGAATGATGTAACATTTATTCATCATGAATGTTGTAAACAATTCACATCCATTATTCATGATGAATGAGGATACATGTCTCACTCTTGTCTGTCCCTAGCTTCATAAAGGAAAACATGTTTGTAACTTATCTTCCCCCCACCTCTCTCTCTCTCTCTCTCTCTATATATATATATATATATAGATATGTTACATATATATATATAATCAGTTTGTGAATCTCCATTGCAAATCAGTGTAACATTACCTGTTCAAGAGTTGAAACAAAAGTCAGTCATACAAAAACAAGCTCCAGCGACAAGATGACAAGCTTAAAGCCATGACCTCATTCATAACAACTTTGATATGTCTATTAGCACCTATTCTTGACAATACTTCTTAAGAAGCTACAACAAAAACCTTACCAGTCTAATAATAGATGAAATTGCACGTACTTCAGACAAAGCCACACCACACCAAGAATACACATTATATTTTGGTAAGTACTGCTTGGTCTATCCCATTTTTATATAAGGCATCTATTGTCCCTTACTCCCTTTGTCGGCGAATGAAAACACCACAAAAAAGCAAGTTTATAAGATAAAAATCTGTAAGGGGCCATTTACCAAAGGCGTACTAAGTCACATTACTTTACCGGATGAATATGACAATCACAAAGAATATTACTCGGTAAGAGCAAAGGCAATGATCGAGAATTTTACTCGGTAAGTGATAACTCTTACTAGGGTTAGCACTTACTGGGTAAATTGTTGCATATGATAGGTGGACTAAAATCTTATCCAGTAAGTAAGTGTAAATGATAGTGTTGAATTTTGTCGGTAAGCGTTTACCCGGGTAAGTGTTTGGTAAATGACCCCTGAATTTCTTAATGAACGTTTTTATATGACTTAAATTAATATGATTACACAATTGTGTATATGAGGTTTAAATGTTGTAATAAGTTTATAGGATGTTTTTTATTAACAAAAAAGAAAAAAATAGGACAAATTAATATAAAGAGTCTTTTTATCTTAAATACAGGACACTTTTGAGAATTATTATATGACAGTAGTAAAACAAAATAGAGTTTATAGAACATAAAAAATTCCAGATGTCTTAATACATCGTCTTATAGCATTTAAGTTTATAAGACCAACAATAAAACATTCTATTTAAATGTTGTAATAAGTCTATAAGAAGTTTCCGTACGTCATAACAAGTTTTTTAGGACACTTTTGATATAAAAAAAAACGAGATGTATTATCTATTTTATAAGATACTTTGAAAAGTGTCATATGAACACAATTTTTTCAATATAAACCAAATAACACCTTATGAAAAAAAAAAAGATGTATTATCTATTTGAATACACCTTTTTATATGTTACTAGTTTTTATATAGAACTTTTTCAAATACTACGTTATGAAAAATAGTTATATGACGTTTTATTTTAGAAGTTGTTAAGATGTCCAAAACCGTTGTAAAAATATATTGCAACATGTTTATATAGAATGCACAATTAAGAATATATATATATATATATATATATATATATGACGTTTTATTTTAGAAGTTGTTAAGATGTCCAAAACCGTTGTAGAAATATATTGCAACATGTTTATATAGAATGCACAATTAAGAATATATATATATATATATATATATATATATATATATAAAAGATCTTAGTCATTTGAGAATATTTATGGGATCCAATATTAACCAACCATTTGATGTAATCATTAATAAATTGAAAATGATATATTAGTAAACGGTAAATAACATGACAACTAAGCAAATCCTTTTTAATTAATAAATATATTCTACCACATCAATTCCATATTCATCTCATAGTTTGAAGTTTATCCCATCCATTTTCTCTCCTCCATGATTTGATACTACACCATCGTGATTCCCTTAGATGCACGTATTCTTTTTGCTGCAATCAAACTTCATCGCCATTCTGTAGCAGATGCTCCATGTACGTCTTGATACTGCACGTTGCTTATTTTCACACCGGAAGCCTGCAAATTTTTACCTATTGAGTAGATATTGAGTTTTTGAACCGCAAGTAGATAATGATCGATGGATGCAAGGAGAATGGGAAGACGTACCTGACTGGAGGAGTTGATGCTACCCAAACAGTAGTTTTGGCAGATAATGATTGGGTTCAGGACATGGGTCATGAGGCATGATAGAAGAGAAATCCTTTAACAAACCTACTACAACTTGGCGCTCGCCCATGATTTTTTCGCTATGCATCTGTCTAGATCTGGATTTCTTTCTTCTAGATTTTTTTTGCTTATGTTTTCTCTTACGAGTTGATTTTGTATACTTTTGTTTATGTTCTTGAATGATTTATATGTTTACAATGGTGTTCACATAATGTTCAAATCATGTTCACAACCTGCATTTCATCTTTTGACGATGTTATTGTGCACAATGTGTGGTGTGAACAGTGTGAACATTGTCATCGCACTACAGAACCAACATTTGCAGAGTATGTACAATGTGTAGTATGCACATTGTGTTCACAATATATTGATCGAAGGACAATGTGCACACATGTTCCAAAAAGATGTTCCAAGGATCATGAAGGCCATAACCACAATGTTGGGACGAAGGAGATAGGGGAGGGGGGGAGGAGGGAGGAGATATATATATATATATATATACACACACACACGAGAGAGAGAGAGAGAGAGAGGAGAGAATTTTTAAATACCTATAATACTCTTTATTTAATTTTTCAATTCAAAATTAGTAATTTCCTAATTTGCTATAATTACATGGATTAAAATGGACCTCAGAGTTCCTATAAATTATCAGGTTCTTAAAAGAACACCTATATATATACACATACATACATATGGGCTCATTCAAGGAAGAACTGATTAATTTGTGGTAATCGTGAGATCCAATATGAACCACTCATTTGAGATATTTAAGGATATTTTTTAAATAAGTTAAAAAGGTAATATATTAATTCTATTTTTGACAACTAATCAAAATATTTAATTAAATCTTTTAGAAGGAAATATTTAATAAAAATTAGTTACCTGGTATATCAATTACCTAATAATATATATTGTATTTTAAAGACGTTTGTGAATCAAATTGTATCATAACGTTCACAATGTTTCACATGTATCACAATGTATTTTCTTTGTTTTATGAAATGTATCATAGTGTGCATTTTTTTTTCATTGCTTTACAAAAGGTATCACATTGTGTATCTTGTATGTATATCTAGGTATCACAGTGAATATCGTTTATAGATATCACATTGTGTATCTTGTGTTCACATAAGGATCATCAGAATAAGGTTTGTCTAATAAGATTCGCTGGAGAGAGGAAAGCAGAGATGAGAGAGGTTATTCTAAAAAATTCCTAAAATGCCCTTAATTAATATTTTAAGTCAAAATTACGAAAATTATTAACTTCCTAATTTAACCTTTGATTTGTGGTTGAGATTGAATCCCACGGTTATTACAAACAAAACAATTATCATTTGATTAGGCTCATATATATGTATATGTATACGTGTATATATATGTATATATATATATATGTGTGTGTGTGTGTAGATGTGGGTTATATAATAACCCTTTATATTTGTACAACCAATGCAACCCAATCTCAACCGTCCATTTAATTTGATGAATATGTAATTTCATATAAGTTTTGATTGTTTTTTAATATAAAGTATTGATCATAATTAATGAACCTTATTTATATTTCATAAATATTTAAATCATAATAAATGAATCATCATTTCCATAAATATTTCAATTTATTGGGTTGCATTAGTTGTACAAATATAATGGGTTGCATTTGAAACAAACTATCTCTCTCTCTCTATATATATATATATATACACATATATATTTTGTTGTAACATGAAACCCGATTTTATTGCACTAATACCACCTATGTACTAAAAGACCAGATGACTGAAATATCAAGACAATTAATTTTACTAGAGTACCTCTAAAAACAAAACAAAATCACAAGTTCAGGAGCATCTTTCAATCGATGATTCCAACATTATTTTAATGGTGGACTTTGTTCCCTCCTTTTAACTTTCAGCAGGTGATGATTACAACGTAGACTTACGAAACTAATATATATTATATGTGACAAGAAAGAAATCCAAAAGCATAAAACAAAGAGAATCTTAAATTCTGGTAAGAGCATAATTAATAAACCCATGGATGTTCTTCTTCTTTAAGTAGTCTCTCCTCTAAAGACATCATATCATAGCCAGTTCCCTTCAAGTACGTGACTTAAATAATCCACCATTAATGGAGTTCCAATCACCCTTTTCAGTCATCATCGCTTTCCTAGTTTTTCTTTTCTTCTTTCTATTCCAATTGGTTAAGGTCATGAAAAGATCTAGTAAGCCAAAGTTGCCACCAGGTCCATGGAAGTTGCCCTTCATTGGTAACATGCTGTCCATGATAAGCTCAGAGCTATCACAGGAAATCCTTAGGAACCTAGCCAGGAAATATGGACCACTCATGCACCTGCAACTCGGGGAAATTTCCGCGATTGTTGTATCATCTACCCAGGTCGCAAATGAAATCTTCAAGAATGATGTATCGTTTGCAAACCGGCCTGAAATTCTCCTCGCAAAGATAGTTCTATACAACAGTACAGACATTGGGTTTGCAGCTTATGGTGATTACTGGAGGCAAATGCGAAAAATCTGCACCTTGGAACTTCTCAGTACGAAGAAGGTACAATCATTTGCTACCATCAGGGAGCAAGTGGCCAGGGGCGTTGTTGATTCAATTAGGGAATCCTCAGGATTTCCTATTGATCTTACGGAGATCATATTCATCTCAACGAATACTGTGACATCCACAGCTGCATTCGGAGAGAAATACAAGGACCAAGAGGAACTTCTACGATTACTCAAAGAAATGGGTGAAACAGCAAGTGGTTTTGATGTGGCAGATTTATTTCCTTCATACAAGATTCTTCATGTTCTCACAGGAATGAAGCCTAAATTGGAGAAATTGCATCATAAGCTTGACAAAATACTAAATGACATCATTAACATGCACGAAGAGAACCGTGCAGGCTTAAAAAGCCGAATTGGTGATGCGGGAGAGGAAGATCTAGTTGATGTTATGCTTAGACTTAAAGTCAGTGGTGATCTTGAGTTTCCCATTACATCAGAGAATATCAAAGCAATCATCCTGGTTAGTAGGTTCCCTAAAGTTAAGTTGATTTCATTCCTATACTTGAGATAATCTAACAAAACAGTTGTGTGGAAACCTGTGGATAATGCATACCAAATTGTGCATACCTGCAGCATGCAATAGATGATAACAAAATCGGGTTTATAGGACACCAAAAGTGTTTTAAGTATCTTAATAGATAATCTTATATGACCAAACATTTGTGTGTCATATCTAAAAGTGTTGTAACAACTTTATATGACTATTTTGGGTGTTTTACCAATCTTCTTGGGACACTTTGAAACAAAGTGTCCTATTAACCCTTTTACAGGACACTTGTCTTATAAATCACTTTTTCAAACAGTGTCACATGAAAGGGTTAATAGGAAAATTTCATAAGTGTCATAGAAAGTTCGTTAAGACGTCCCATAATCTTATTTACAACACATTTAAATATGACATATAAATATTTAGTCCTATAAAGTAATCCATTTGTACACTCAGACATTTTTGGTGTCCTATAAACCTGATTTTTCTTTGATGATAGCACAATCATTCACTTCACAAAATGGGTTACATTCGAAATGGGTTAATTGACCAAGAATAAAACCTGTAAATATGCATGCAGGATGTATTTGCAGCAGGAACTGATACTTCTTCATCAACAGTTGAATGGGCAATGTCAGAAATGGTGAGAAATCCACAAGTGATGGCAAAGGCGCAAGCGGAAGTTAGAGAAGTACTCAAAGGAAAGGAGGTAGTAAACGAGACGGATTTCCAACGACTGAATTACCTGAAGCTGGTTATCAAAGAAACGCTGCGTTTGCATCCACCGATTCCCTTGTTACTCCCAAGAGAATGTAGGGAAAGATGTGAGATTAATGGATACATGATACCGGTTAAGACCAAAGTCTTTATCAACGCATGGGCACTAGGACGAGATCCTGAATTCTGGATCGATGCCGAGAATTTCGTGCCTGAGAGATTTGAAAATAGTCATCTTGATTTCACAGGAAGTAGCTGCGAATATATACCATTTGGTGCAGGAAGGAGAATATGTCCTGGCCGTACATTTGGTTTGGCTAATGTTGAGTTTCTTCTTGTGAATTTGCTGTATCACTTTGATTGGGAACTTCCTAATGGGATGGAGCATGGAGAAGTGGACATGAGTGTCAACATCAAAACAGGAGGTAGGAAAAAGAATAGTTTGTGTTTGGTTCCTATCCCACGACTTGAATGAATTTGTAAACATATTACGTACAGAAAATATAAAAAACATCAAGACACGTTGTGCATCAAGTATCATCTTTCATGAACACTAAAACAACGTTAGCCTTATAGAACGTTCAAGCATCATAATAAAATAAAAACGATGTGTATCTGAATATTGGGACAACACAACGGCCGAGTTCATATCCATGATATTCTATATCTAAGACTTCATCCAACAATCCATAGTAGTTGGCCTCGTAATCTAAGTAACAAAACCCTCTCACACATACTCCACTATTATGTGTGGTGCAATTTCTACCGTGAGCTAGCGTGTGGAACTTGTAACCATTTACAAATAACCACGTGTCTCCTACCAGTACGTATCAGTTGGTATGCCAAAATCCTCACATGATCGGAAGCAGGGTTCGACCGAGACATAACCTATAATCATATCATTTGTAATATTTTATTAAGTACAAAAAAATAATGATGAATGAAAATTAATATGTATACACTTACATGGGTATGAAACCATGCAACAAAGTGATTGCCTTTACGTTTGTCGAGCCTGCTTCATCGATATATGGCTTTGTACATTTAATCTTTGTATTCAAGATATCTATGAACGAATAAATTTCATCACAATTCAGTAAAATATATATGTGAGGTTTGTGCATATCTTCATCCGATAGATTAACATATGTTCCGCCTTTATCAAATAATCCTCGACGTGGAGTTTTAAATATTTTTAACCGTTGGTCTGAAGATAAACAATCGGGGGCAAAATTCCAAGGCTCACGTTTCCGTGTCTTTACCGCTATTCCAAAATACAAGGAGCAGTAGGTGTAGATAGTTCATTAACCAAATATGCTTCTACACTTGACCCTTCTACCCTTGCTATGTTTCTCATTGTCCTTTTCAACGACCCTAGACGTCTCTCATAGAGATATATCCATCGATATTGAACCGGACCTCCAACTATTGTTTCATGTGCCAAATGTACCACAAGGTGTTTCATGGAATCAAAGAATCTCGGTGGGAAGAATCTTTCCAATTTACAAATAGTTTCCAATATACTTGTCTGCAACTGAAGCAAGTCATCGACGTGTAACACCTTCGAAAATATTGCACAAAAGAATGTGCACAGCCTCCGTGATAACGTCCCATATCGGAGCCGCTACCGATGGAGCAGTCTTTGCATGAACAAGCGACAATCATGACTTTTGAAGCCATAGAAACTACCATCTTCAACATTTACTAATAGATCTATGTTAGAAGCATAGCTGTCTGGAAGAAGTTTTTGGTTTAAACCATTCACACATCTTTCCTACTTGCTATTTGTTCCCTGTGTAAGAAGTTTTTGGTTTAAAGATTTTATTTCGTTCTTCCCTTACATGCAACTCCTATCAATTGAAATATTCTTCAATGTCTTTCCTTGCTTTTAAGTTGTCTTTTGATTTTGGGGTGTCCATGATGGTGTGAAAGAGATTGTCAAACACATTCTTTTCAATGTGTGTTACATCTATGTTGTGTCGGATCAACAAAGAGATTGTCAGCTCCCAGAAAATGCTCTTCTTTACTCAATTGGAAGTTACCCAAAAACCCACAGACTTCCTATATTGCCTTGATCCGTGTGGGACTCCTTCATAGAGCATAGGAAGGCTATAAACTTGAGCCCATATTTTCTCCCCAGTTAGCAGAGGGGGTGGATCAGCCTTTTTAACATGTCCAACACGAAATAGGTTCTTATCATGCCTGAACGAGTGTCTCATTTGCAGAAACTTGTTGTGACAGTTAAACCAACACGACTTTCCTCCACTTCGCAACTGGAAAGAACATGCATTACCCATGTAATATGGGCAAGTTAACTTGTCATGCATGCTCCAACCAGACAGCATGACATAAGTAGGGAAGTCACTAACCATCCACAACAGTACGACTCTCATTGTGAAATTCGCCCGTCGATAAGCATCGTAGGTAACAATTTAATATTCACATAATCACATTCCCAAACATAATAAGGTATCCAAGCACAAATATGTTCCTGTAAACCCATGATTACATTGCCAGTTGTAATTTGAATTTACCTCACATATTGTTTTTTAATCCATCGTATTTATTTCAAAGGTTGTACATATGTCAGGGACTCTTAATATACAAATAATACAGTTTAAGTCTAGACATCATCTTGAATACCTAAATCTATTAAACTCAAACTCTGATACCAAACTTGTAACACCCCAAGATCTCGTTTGCATATAACCATGCATTTCATATATCAAGAAATACAAATTTACATAATTTAGTCCCAATATCTACAAAAGTTACATTATAAAAGTAGCTACCAAATTTTTCCATATATGCTATGTACTAAACTTTTATACATAACAAGTATTCAAGTACAAAATTCATATATCATCCCAAACTCCATATGCAAACAATTCATAAAATCTTCATATTTTTTCTTCCCCTTATCGTCCGATTGTGCCCGACCAGTAATGCACGTTCTTAAAACACCAAAATGAGGGTTAAACCTTGATAAATAGTGAGAAATCCCCTTGTTTGCTATTACAGATGAAAAGTTACCAAAACACTTTTATAAACCCAAAATTTGTATAAATAATAAATAAATAGCATTTTAACAAATAAACCTGTTTTGTCACATCTATAAGATGAGAAATCACCAAATTATCTGATGTACATTGGGAATTCAATGTATAGAGAACTCATTTTATAAGTTTTTAGTTAGTTTATTTTACTTTTTATCCCAATCTTGAGTCATTTTATTACTTTATTTTCCCCTTTATTAATTATGGAACTAAAAATGTGATTTACTTGTCTTTTACACCATTAGAAGTCAAATATGAAAAAAAATGTATGATTGTTTGTTGCTATAACATTCATGCATCATGGATCTGATGGTTTTCGGCTTTTTGAAGGGCTTATTGAGCTAAGCTGTTGAATACTTTTTGTTTCTATAAGTCCATAAACTGAAGACTCTTTGAGAGATTCAAGGATGCTAAACTCTTGTTAGGATTATATCACAATCTAGTTACTTTAATTGTACTTGGTGTTGACTTTTGATGCTTTGTCCACTAGATTTTTTTATGTCTTTTTGTGCCCTATTTTTGTATAAATAAGGAGGTTGGGTCTTTGCATTTGCATCATAAAAATCAGTTATAAAACTCATTTCTCTCTAGAATTTGAAGCAATTTTAATATTAAGTCTCGTATTTACTTTCAAGTTTTTTCTTTACTTTTCGTCATCTACTTTCCATCATTTACTTTCAGCTCTTTACATGAAGTCATTTACTTTCAATAATTTATATTTATGTCTTTACATTCGGTTATTTACTTACCTTGTCATTTACTTTCCGTTATGAGTCGCTAATTCCATAACTTGGGTGTGAGACAAAGGGTGAGATTTTAAATCGAAGGAAAGTAGACAACGTTCCACTATTTCAGTTTTATAAAAAGCAATGACATTTTTTGACAAGTTTATCACTTTGAAAGTGTTAAAGTGTCATGGTCTTAGAAATAAGCCATTGAATGACGTCAACTTGACTGATATGAGAGGTAGACTTGACAAAGTTGCTGATAAGGAGACTTGTCATTTAAATCTTTCAAACTAATTAATTTTTGACAGGTTGGTCAATTGTTAAAAGTGTTAAAGTGCGGAAGATTCAGAGATGAACTACTTAGAACACACGTCAACTTGAATAATTTGGGAATCGACTCGAGAATGATTTTTAACAAAGCAATTTGTTTATCCATATATTTTGAAGACACTATCCTTGGTCCTAATACCACATAGATATATAGGTTGAAAGCTATAATATAGTATAATGGTAGAAGTCAGAGAAGAATACCCTCAAAATAGAACCTGGAACTAGTTATGGTTGACTGCTTGCTGTAGCATCCCTACAACACTGTTTGCTAGAATTTGTGTTTATGTCTCACCACAAGTCTTACACCCATGCTCCCTTTATTTATTATGTTATTTCAATAGTGTTAACTCTACGACCAATTAAAGTCTTCAAATTTATTATCTGAAATCATCTCTTTCGTTAGACTTTTATTAGACTTTTGCTACAATCACCGTGGACGATAATCGGTATTTTACCACTTTATTACTTAGAAAGACGATCTTGGAACATATTGTATACTTGCTTTGGTGTTCATTTTATATGTCGAAAGGTGTGTAAAACCTCCCTCCCAAGTTTTTGGCGCCATTGCCGGGGATTGGTAAGCTAAAAGTTCTTTTTAAGAGTAAAATAAAGTATTTGATTTTTCTAACACCGTTTGAATAATTCGAAAGTGGTGTATGCCACAGATACACTGCGGGGAGCTTCTCGAATTCGATCTAGATATTGATCGAACACTTTGCCAAAGAAGGAGGGCACAAATACCATCTTTTGCTCTACTTCATCCCAATATGGCGTTACCTCTTGCACTTCTTGAAAACATGCCGCCACCACCACTTTTCGAAAATCCACCTAAACACCCTTTTCAGCCAGCTCACCCAAATCAAGATGAGATAAATGAGGATATATAATTTGAAAATAATGAATGACCAAGGGTTCAAGATCCAAATATAATTAATCTTGAAATTTAAAAAAGTGGAAGAATCATGGACTATGTTATCCCTGATTTTGAGCAATTAAACTCAAGGATAATTAGGCCTCATATGACATCCCTCTATTTTGAGCTTAAACCAATCATGTTTCATATGTTGCAAACAAATGGACTATTTGCTGCCATTGGAAGATCCTCACTCACATCGAAATCTTTCATGGAAATCACTGATTCCTTCTTGATCCCGGGAGTGTCTAACTACATTCTAAGACTTACTTTGTTTCCATTTTCTTTACGGATCGGGCAAAATCATGTTTTAATTTAGTATCACCAAGTTCTGTACCATCATGGAGTAATATGGCTAAAAATGTTTTACGAAAATATTTTCTACCCACCAGGAACGCTAAGTCAAGAAATGAAATATGTATTTTTAAACAATTGGACGATGAAGTTG